TTAATTTATAACTTTTGAACACAGCGCAGAAGACAAGGAAGCTACTGAATCACACATTGGGAAAAAATAGCCTTCGTGCAGATTTTATGACACTAACCCGCATTTGCATTACAAGGAGAAGAAAACCACAAAAACTCCCATGCTAAGACCGAAGGTAAGGGGATTCTAACCTGCTATCCGTTCTCCACTGAGATTATTTTATATCAGCACTGTGGTCTTTGCGAAGCCGGGCCAGAATTCGTTTCAATCAGCTATTACTGGGATTCGATCTTGGCTAACCTCATTGGGAAGGAAACTCTTTATCACGTGAACCACAACGGTTCAGTCTTGTTTGCTTGACAATTTGCAAAAATGTTTTCGACACATAAGTTTTAAGAATGAATTATGCACTGTTGGTTCAAAGTATTATTATTTAATATTTTTCAACTAAATTTTAAAAAAATATTACCATTATTAAAAATATTGCATTTTTGATCATATTTTAAAAATTGGTTGCAATGCGAACAATATTGGTTGTAAATAATTTAATAATTTTCATTTATGTCTAATCCTTAATCTATTCCCAAGATTCATCATTTACAAATACTAGAAACAAATAAAGAAAACTAAGTTCTGATAAAGTTATGCGCTTTCAAAAAAACAGTGATTTTCAATTAGAATTAACCTCTCCTCACCACTCTTCAATTAAAAAAAATTTTTCAAAATTTCTGTGTATGAATTTCATGCTTTAGTACACAATACAAACGTATATCAAAATATAAAAAATCTAAATGAAATATTTTTCAAATTTGGTTACCAAATATATCGTATCAAATGTATTTGGGTATCGTAATTGACATTTTAAAAATGCTTGGCTTCATGCTCAAACATGATGTGGAAAAACATGTTATGGTAAACTGCAATTTTGCTCAAAATTTGTTTTCCAAATATGCAGTTAAAATTACAGCGTTTAAACTCAATAAATGTGATTATACATGACTAAGTCAAAAAACTATACATGACTTCTATTTTGTAGTTTTATTCTTATTTTTATTAATAAAATGGAACTAATGAGAAATGATAAAATAATTCTTTCGAGAGAGTGAAATTCTTTTTTTAAGTATAATAATATCCTTAATATTTTTAGAGTGACTAACATTAGCCCATTCGCATCTTAGATTATTAATTTACTTCAATTAGAAAGGAGCACTTTAAAATAATTTATAGACAAGGTATCCGTTTAGGGGCCGGATTTGTCGTCTGATAAGAATTAAAAATAACACATAGAAAAAATTACTCAATTGGGTATAATATGAAAAAAACACAACTACTTCGATTTAGTAGGAACAACATATGACGCAATGCTAAACGAATGGAATTTAGTTGTTGTTTATTTAGTTATTGTTATTAGTAGTTGTTGTTATTTGNAAGATAATCAACCGAGTCTGCAAATTCTCTTAATTTCTTACACATTTGACCACCAGTGCAAACGTAAGGTAATATGCATGAAGAATGTAAGAATCTGCATGGATGTATGAATATGCTTAGAATGTAAGAATATATGCATGGATTTTCTACAACGAAAGTGAAATGTTTCTTACTTTTTCTATAGTGCTGGGCTACTTATGGCAAAAAAATTAAAGGGCAATTTATTGACTGTTTATGGGGATAGTAACATTTCCCTCTGTTTTCTAGTAAAAGATTCAAAGATTGCAAGATTCATAGCAGCATTAAATGTTTTTTTTTTCTTCTCTATTTTATGGTTTAATTTTTTATTCTTTTTCTTTTTAAAATTCCTTTTTTTGAATTTTTTATTTTATTCCATTCATTTTTTTAAACTTTTTTAAATTTATTTTTTAATTTTTCTATTTTATTTATACATTTATTTACGTATTTATTTTGTGTTTTTCAAATATTTTTTTATTTCACTTTTCGCTACTTGATTATGATAACTTCTCAGTTATTCAGTCATATTATTATGCAATCTTGAGAGAAACTATACTTGACAATCAGTCAAGATTTTCTATAATTTTTGTTGACCGGAGTTCTTGCTGAGTTGTCAGACAAACAAACCTGTCGGAAAATTGAGCTATCAAGCAAACGGCGTCGTGATGTGTACGTGTACCAAGAGATGTGTATGTGTTACAAAAAAAAATCATTACCATGCTAAATATTATATCAAAAGAGCGGTTTCTCTTTTATGTTCTTTATGTTACTGTTCATAAAATAATACCGTCTAATCTAATAAATGATCAGTTTTCTAATATAATGCGATTTTGTCAAATTTATATCAAAGTATAATGCATTTTTTAGAATGATACGTATCAATAATGGAAAATTTGAAAAATCATTTCACAGGCAGTTAAAAAGAGATCCTCAAGAAGAATTAATTTTCGTATTTGTTAGATGTTCAATATTTTTAATGCATGCATTCATTTATTTCTTGATACTATTTTTCTATTACTTCCCAACTCCCATTATTTTTTTGGCAATCATCTTCATTTCTCGCTTCAAAACATAAATTTCATGAAAAAAAAATTTCTAGTTTTCTATGATAGATAGACGTTAGCCTCCTTACTTTTTGTGCTTTCATATTCAACTTAGAAAATAATTACCTACTGACAATGAAATAAATTTCTCTGAGGAGAACTTTTCGGGTCAAGAATAAATTAGGTTGCATTTATAATTGTTTACAGGTGAGAGCGAAAACTTTACAAATAAAACTCTCAAACTACCTATATCATGATATGACAGACCAGCATGTTAAGTTTGTAAACGACCTTTTGGGACACCCTGTATATTAGATTATTGTTGCCTGCTTATTATGATAATCTCTGATGCATGCCAAATAATAAATATTTCAGTTTCAGTAAAGCTTTGACTTTTTAGAAATACTTATCGTCTTATCATCGATAGTATCATATTCAATTCATACGATACTAGGTAACACATTGTTAAATAATACCTTAATTGCTTATTGCTATCTTTGGTGCGGATGATTGTTTTCTTTAGATGTAAGGAAATGATTTGGTTTTAAGTAAATGAATAACAAGTTGATTTCAAAGTTTTATGAATTTTCTTTTTCATAAAGAATCATTTTATTTCAGAATATACAAACATTTCAAGTAATACATATGTTTTCTCAATTAAGACTATCAAGACTATACTATTGAGAGAATCTGCATTTTGGTTTGTGGTATTCATAAATTAATTGACCCTCTCTTAAATTTAGAACCATTAACTTTCAAACTATATATTTAGGATTATTTTACACCTATTTTTATAATTAATAAAGCTCCTCACTGACTATAAATGTGTAAGAAAATAATTTGAAAATAAATCTGTAACAAGAATTTTCTTTTGCATTTATGCGTGCGTGAGTTTATTATTGGGTAAATCCCATCTTGTTCTTTTAGCAAACCAGCAGTCTTTTTTAATATAAAGATTCATTGTTTTTAATTTTAAATAGCTTTTTTTTGAGTTTAAATAATTTTCACGAATTCAGATTTTTGCATTATACGTATATTATTGTTGTTTGATTACTATGATAATCTCTGCTGCACGCCAAACAATTAATTTTTTAGCTTCAGTAAAACTTTGATTTTTTAGAAATTTTTTATTTATCTTCCTATCATCGATAGTATAATATTCAATTCGTACAATACTAGGAAACTCTTAGTTAAATAATGCCATAACTGATAATGCTGCAGATGTAATCTTAACACATCTTATTGCTATTTTTGCTAAATTTTAATTATTAGATAATTTATGAAAGGTATTTTAATATTTCCAAATATGCTGTTTAATTAAGTGAGGAATATAAATTAAATTTTGAGTACAGAACTAAAACATAATTTCTTGAAAGAAAAATAATTTTTTTGTGACAGCTATGTGAAAAATTTGTACGTGAGAAAAATTGCGATGTGAAAAATTTTCCCACAGTAGTTTTAGTTAGTGCAGCTGCTGAAAAATTAAGTTCGTTAATGTTAATTTTACTTTCAGCACATTTGTCGAATCTCAAGAATAAATAAAACGAATTTGAAGAAATTCTCCTAATTATAATGATTTGAAATACAAAATAGTTTTATTAATCATTAATATTTTCCCTTATTTGATTTAACCTCTTTATTATTAAATCTATTCATTGTATTTAAATAGACCCTAATATAACGCTATGCGAGTTTGTTCATACTTTGGGAGCAATTTAATATTTTAGTTATTTTTATTATTTAACTTAGTTAAAACCTCTAAAATTATCAGCTCCTTGGGAGTATAGTTCATATTTTGTTCATCTTTTTATGACTTATGGCTGTAAAATAGAAATTCGGAACTATAAAATATTTTTTTGCTCCATTCTTTTAAACTTCAGTAGTGAAGACCAGAAGAATGATTGAATTATTTATATTTTATGTGAGATACAATATATTAGTCATTGACCTCTTGGAAAGCTAGCATTGCTCAGTAGTACGTGAAAAATCATGTGATTAGATCAATGTGTTTTTTTAGTGTATTTCTTAATTTGCTGACTATGCGAGATACAAAATTTAGTTATTTCCATTATTTTAGGTATTATTTCGCTCCGAAATTAAGAATGTAATTCTTATACATTTTGAAATATTTTAGTGAAGTTAACTTAATTTAGTTTACTTTTTCAGTACTAAAGCGAAATATTTTTTAAATTTTATGTAATACTTATTCACTTTCGGAAATTCATTGTTATACGTTTATTATTAACATTAAGGAAAATATTGTTTTTATTTAAATTTTAAAATTTTTTCCCGTTCTTAAAATTCTCAAAATAAAAATGATACTGATATTAATTCTAGCTAGACAAATAGTAAAATTTTTAAGCAAAAAATTTAGTTTGATCTTCAAGATACATTTTCTGTTGAGGAGGCAAATAAAGAAAAGATAAGGTGTCAAAAGATCATACTATTAAACAATCGATAAAGAAAGGGAAAAAAGCCATCTGTTACTGAAATCTATCAAAATTTTGTTTTTGATAACACTTTTAAGTAAAACCCTTCTTCTGTAAAAAACCTCTATATAGTTATTCAGACATACACTGTAATAATGGTTCTTTTTTATCTTTTGCTACTGACTATTGGATGGACAGCTGGTTGTCCAGACGAGGAAGTACCACCTTGCAAATGCACGCGGATCGGTTTCCATAGTTCCACCATTGATTGCACTAATGTCGACAACGTCGACACTTTCAGAACATCCATCTACAACATTCGAACATCAATTACTCCAATCCGCGCGTTGCACATATTAAATTCGAACATTTTATATTTGCCTAGTGGTCTTTTTGATGGACTTGCCTTCGAGAGGTTGGTGATTGATAACTCGACGATAATGTCTCTGAGTGATTCTGACACGGCTCTGGTTGGACTCGAGAAAAGCTTGAAAACTCTGATTATTCAGGAGTGTACAGTGCTCAATGGACTGGATTGGTATCAATTGAGGAATCTGGAGGCTCTGAGGGAATTGACGACGTTAAAGACTGGAATGATGGCCATTGATGACGAAGTGAAAGGGATTGCTGGGTTGAACCTGACGAAACTGATGTTGACCCAAGACCAAATTTCGTACATCAGTGAAAATGCATTTTCTACGTTTCATTATCTTGAAACGCTTTCACTTAAATACAATTTGATTGGTAATATGACGAGGAGTATGTTTCCAAATCCAGCCAACAAGTTAGCTCAAATTATATTGAGGTAAGTAGTTTAGACTAGGTGCTCTTCTCTATAATGAATACTCTTGATGCACACGGTGTTTTGTAATCACCACTCATAATGCATAATTTAGTTTTCTAGTCTAAACTAATGAGGCCGAGAAATCTGACCCCCCTAAATAAATTTTGATCTAATGATTGAAATCTCACGTTCCAAAATTTATTGTTAATGGTTCGAAAGGGTGACTTCAAATTTGTTAATTAATTAGTGCAAACGAAACTTTAGGCTACGAAATCGGACATAAAAACGTACTTTCTCTGAATAATAACATTGAAGAGTTCAAAGTTTAAACTTCTCAATGTTGATTAAATTTTTTGCGTATTTCGCTATATCTTGAGAACGTTTTTAGCTAATTGAAAAAATGTTTTGCCCAAAATTATAAAATTCGCTTGTTTAAAAATAATTCCATGCAGAAAACAAATTTTTGTAAATATTTTTTATTATTTTATCAAATAATAATAATAAAAATTTTTAACTGTGCGGTATGAAAATTTTTACACTATATTAAAGGTACCTTACACCTTATTAGATTAAAATAGAGTTCAAAGATGTTAAAAGAATACTTATTTTTTTATTGCAAAATATGCTGTAATAAGTATGTTTTCAAAAAAGAAATTCATAATTCATAATTTTGAATGTTAATCAGATATGACTCACTAAAGTAAATTATAGTTTATAAATTCTCATTCTACAATTTTCGTAATTTAAAATGGCAAAATACAAAATTTGAGCAAAATCAGTCGAATAACTCATGTGAAATCTAATTTTAAAAAAGTATATTTAAAATTCGATTTCTCGCGTTCCGATTTCGCATTTTGTCATTTAAAATTACGTACTTTAAAATGATGCAGAGAATTGCATAGCTTACATTCCAAAATTTTTCGATTATTACATAATAAAATAATGAAAAAACACAATGTTTGCTAAAATTTATTTTTTCCACAGAATTATTTTTGGACAAAAAATTTTTATAATTGTGTGCAAAAATTTTTCAATACACTTAAAAATTTCCCGAGATATAGCCAAATACTCAAAAAATTTAATTGATATTTTAGGATCCAAACCTTAGACCCCTCTCCTGACCGAACTACTCATATTAACCGACCGACAATATTCCCCATATCGCCTATATTTTGGGGGTCAGAATTCTGAATCCGTCGAAAAAAAGTTATGTTTATTTAGAGAAAGTACGTTTTTGTGTCCGATTTTGTAATTTAAATTATCTTCTGCGTTTATTGATTCGCCTATTTAAAGTTACCCCTTGAACCATTACGAGTGAGTCCTAGAAAGTGAAGATCCGATCATTAGATCAAAAGTTATTCAGGATGGTCCGTTTTTTGCGCAATGTAGGTTTTTGTATCGGATTTCGTAACTTAAAATATTTTAATTAGCATAACTAACATAAAAAAACTAAATTAGCATTAACTTAATTAATTAGCATTTTTGAGATCCCAAGCTCAAACGTACAAGATTCAGTCCAAAAACCTGAAGATCAGATCATTAAATCAAAAGTTATTCAGGGTGGTCCGTTTCTTATTTCGTGCACGGTACAACTCATTCGTCGTCAGAATATTCTATTCAAAGTGATTAATTTCAGTGGGTTGAAAAATTAAGACTGGTAATTCTGGTAAAATTACCCTACTATTTGGTAATAACATATCTGGTAAAAAAACTGGGTGGAACGTTTATTTACTCGCGTACTGTACTTAGGTTTTCATGCAATAATTAATCGAAGTAAAGATAAAAACGTTATCGAAATCTAATGAATACTCATGAAGGAAAGATTGAAAACACCGGAGCCTTCTTGACTGCAGATGGAAATAGAGACCAGTTTAAAGACTATTATTAGAAACATCCTCCAATAACAAATTCATAATTAGAGTAGATATAGCACAAGGACTGCAAATTTAACTGACATAACACCTATCTTAAGTTTATTAATAATAAATTCATGCTTCTTCCTCTAACTAAATACTTAAAAACCTTTAGGTTATAACGTTCACAATTACCTTAATAAATTTTCTATATAAAGTTAAGGTTCCGTGGGCGAAAAAAAACTGAAAACGTTGATCTAAACTGCTAAAACAATTTCTCATTTTTGTTTCAGTTGGATATATAATCATCATTCACACTATAAATGGTCAAGAGGGCCGGGATAGCCTGGTTGGTACAGCAATGGGCCCATGTTCAAGAGGTAGTGGGTCCGATCCTCGCTGGCCGAAAACTGGTTCGAATGGTGACTGGTGGACGTTAAATCTGTCGAGTCTCAAAGTCCTCCATGTTCCCATAACAAATCATATCTCTGGGAGTACTGATCCAGGAGTTTCCTTGTCAGCTGGATTGGTTCAAAATTACTAGGCTGCGGAGTTGAACATTAGTAATTGTAAGCCCAAGATTGGGTCGGCTGTTCAACGACGGTTACAAAAATAAAAATAAAAATGTTAAAGAGCCGTGATGGCTGAAGGGATTGGACGTTCGCCTTCCAATTAGGTGAATCGAGCTCGAATGCCAGAGATGGCTGGTCAATACGAATTCCGCACCCGGCTTGCACAGACCACAGTGCTGACGTAAAATATCCTCTCTAGTAGACGGATCATGGGTTAAAGTCCCTTTTCGTCAGGCTAATCATGGGAGGTTTTCGTGATCTCCATGTAACGCTCATGCGGGTAGTTACATCGAAAAGTTCTCCACGACAGCAAATTTATCCCAATACTTGATCCAGGAGTTCCCTTGTCTTCTGAAGTGGGTTCAAAATTACAAGGCTAAGGAGTTGAACAATAGTAGTCGTGAAGCCAAAATTGGGTAGACTGTTCAATAACTGTTATAAAATAAAAATATTCATAAATATATGTTCAAGAATGGGATTTATTTATTTATATTTCAGTAAATAAACATGTAAAAAAAATCAGAAAACGTGATGTTAGTCAAAATGGAAAGATCCTTAAGCCATTTTATATTTCATAACGAAGTTCAACGGTGGTTTTTAATGACAGTTTTTAGTTTCATTTTAATTGTTAACTTCGTGTGTGGTGTTCTAGTTTGGTTGAAATCACAAGAAACAATACGCACAACTATTTAAGAACTAACAAGAAATCTTCGTTATAGAATTTAAATCGCCAAAATGAGCGTCATTTTTTGCTATAATTTGAGTAATGATCAGCATTTGAACAAAATAACATGAAACTATTTCACGAGAAAAAGCTGGACACTGATTCGCTATCACTGAAATGTGTCTTATTTTAATAATTCCAGTAGTAGTTGTCTAAATTTGGAAGAAATTACAAGAAATATATTGCACATAAAATAGAGAATTCATAAGAAATTACCTAAAATTATTGCCAATGGCCAAAATGCGTTTTGATTTATAATTTAAGCATTGGCAATAAGTTAAAAATGTTTCAATTGAGAAATTTAATATTTTTGCAAAAAATGAAGCTCCTTATATTAACAAAAAACGCTAAAAATAGTTGAACTATACAATAAAAGCTATTTTTAAATTACAGCAATTGTTTACTTCAAATAAACTGAATTTATTATAATTCAGGATATTTGCAATTCAATCCATAATCACAAATGAAAAGAATACTATCTTTCAGATTTTGGAATAAACAAAATATCTTGTGTGACACTTGTTGAATGAAATGCACTTTTTGAAAGACAGGGATGCACTTGGAAATGGATGTCAAAGAAATATTCGAGTCTGAAATGACACATTTGACAGATGAAATAGTCTCTTTGCAGATGTTCTAAAATATTTTATACAAAAATACTTTTTTTCTTTCAATGATCATTATCAATTATTAAGGAAATAGATGGCGCTGTATATACCAGCAATTTTTTTTTATATTCATATAATATTGTAAGTTTGAAATCTTGTTCGCTTTTGAAAAGTCACTCCTGGCTCTGGATTCTAAATTTTCTAATTGTGACTGTGAATCTGCTTTTTTTTTTAGTAAAATTGCTAGTAAGTTATCATTAGTTTTTCGTAAGTCAAAGTTTCCTTCTCCATTAGATTTTTCTAATTTGAGTCTAGCTCAGCATATCTTTATCTGGCTCTTGTAATAGCAAATGATACATTCAATTAAATCCTGGAGAATAAAAGAAATTTTAAGACATCTTAGTTTTTAAGGTTTACACGCATTTTTTCGGTCACATATTTCTTATCGAGAAGACATTCCCGACCATTTTTTTGAACATCAAATTCTTATTCAATTTCTTATTTTTTCACTTTGCAATCAAACTATATTTTCTTGGTCCATGACAGTTTTTGCATGAGCTTTGTAACTGGTGAACAAATTACTTAATTCTGTATATCACCAAAAAAATAGGCAGGATGGTTAGCATTTAGAACTTTAATTGTATGTTTCAAAAATCCTAAACTGAAATTTGCTTTATACTTGGAATTTTTTTTAAAAATTAAAGTTACGTATTTGAACCAAAAAAGGAATGCTAAGCCAATTTTAGAAGACCTAATATTTCTCATTTAGACTAAAAAAACTTTTGGTAAATGTGTGATTACATGGACAATTTTATATCGACTTGAAAGTTTGAAATTTCAAGGGGAAAAATTTATACACCCTATCATGTGTTTGCACTAAAGATAACGCTCCCCATGTGAATTTTACTTTCAGCTACAACAAAATTTCATCCCTACCATCCGATTTTTTTACAAACATGCCAAGTCTGATATCTGTTGTTTTGGCTGGAAATGAATTCTTAACACTTGACCAGGCTCTGTTTGCTCCCATATGGAAGAACTTAAACAAGATTGATGTAGGCGGTATGTTCACATACTTTTTCAATTTTTAACTAAACTAATTCTGTTTGAAATGTAATGCTTGAGGCAAAGTAATGGTAAGTCATTTTTTTCAAAGATCATATTTTTACATCAGAATATTACATGATAATGTTACCAGAGAATTACTTCAACACTTAGACTGCCACACGTGCTCACAGTGAAATCTCTTTCAGGCCACGAGTACCTTTGAACGAAGCGTATTCTGCTAAGTACTCTCACCGATATTTTAATAATGCGAGTCTCTGGTGGTCACAAGAATAAGATCTCGCTCCGTTTGTTTTTATGGTATCATGTCTGTTTATTTCTGCTCGCTGCTTCGCATCCATTTCTCATTTCTCCACTTTACGCGATCAGTTTGAATCTTTGCCGAGTAAAGGGGAGTTTAACTTAAAATCTCTACCCGAATTAAGTTTAAATTTCAAAAAGAAAAATAGAAAAATTATTTCTTAGTGAGTCAAATAGCTGTGAACAAGAAAGCTTTTATTGGCGCACTAAGGTCTTGTGACCGTGAAAATTTGAAACAGCTACTACAAGAATAGATATTAATGATAATATCTGCAGTTATAAATGGTCCATCACTTGACGTTTTTGTAGAAAAGTGCATATTTTTTGTAGACGATTTTTGTATTTGAGAACGATTCTGAAAATGAATGTTAAGTTACCTTTCGAGAAAAAATAAACTTAAATATCATTTTTTATATTTGTAAAGAAAAAACGCCATTCTGAAAAAAAAGTTTGACGCATGTAATCGTTTTAAAATGTGACTATCTTTTAAAATATGCCTTACAAATTATATGATGATCTTAACTCATCACTCGCTGATCTTTTAGTAGCGAAAAATGAAATCTTCTAAACTTACATATAAAATGTCAAAATTTTATATTTTAATGAAAAGAGTTCTTTTTATTAAGCTGACGAATAAAAAAAACCACTTAATCATCGAAAACCAGTATTACCATTTAGTTTCATATGATAAATAAATCATTTTTAGTGGTTTCACTAACAACCCAACCTCAATTATGTTTCGTCGGATTTAGACAGCTATTTTTTTTATTTTTTTCTATCTCACTCAAATAATTTTTAATTCTTAACTAATAGATTCTAATGCCGTAAATTTTAAAAATAGACTTCAAAAATAGATATTAAGGGTAGTAAATACGGAATATCCCTATTCATGTTTCACTTTTTATTCTGTAGGTAATGCATTAAGATGTGATTGCAGAATGAAATGGTTGTTTGCACAACGCTTTCCGAGGAACACTTGGGGTTCATGCGGTGAACCAAAACAATTGAATGGAAAAGATCTTGTCAATTTGTCTGAATCAGATCTTTGGTGTTATTAAGAAGAAAAAAAACACTAAGTAAATTTTAAAATGTTTCATAAGAACAATGCTTTCAAAATAAAAGTATTACCACTTTCTCTTGCTTTACTTATTTAAGTATTACCAGGTGTATAGGCGCTGGGTAGATGCATTCAGGTACAAGAATACCTTTTTTTTACAATTATGTAAAAAATATCAAACTATATTAAATTCTCATTTTTGACTATCTCAAATGAAGCAGAAGTTATGGAAATGTAAAAAAATAGATTACTGAGCTATTTGAACCTATTACCAACACGTTTTAGATTGTTTGGTGGAAGTATTATACCTCTAGGTCATGAAGATCACTCATTAGGTGCCTTTATTTATTGTCCTCTTCTGGTCCTTGTTCATTTAAGTCGCACTAGAGCTGCACAATGGGTTATTGGCGACGATCTGGGAAGCATCCCTGAAGATGATCTGAAGACATGCCTTCTCAATTTTGATCCTCTGCAACAGGGGATGGCACCCCCACTTCGGTAGCCCGACGACCTGCACGGGAAATCGAGCACTTTAGGGTAGAACAGTTATACGAGGACAAATACCGCAAACCCTCGGTCCCTACGAAGACTTATAAAAGTGGTCACCCACCCGAACACTGACCGCAGGCAGTGATGCTTGACTTTGGTGATCTGCTGGGAACCGTGTCTTAATGATTAGTTCACTACGGGACTTTATTTATTGTCACTCATATATGAAGGCTTGTATGCTCATTGCAAGGACGACTTTTAAGACCTTGTATTTTATTGCTTAATTGAAATTACATATATTTGAAGGCTTGTGTGTTCAATTTAAACTTATAATTTTTTGTGAAGTTGAAAGAGAGATAGAACAACTCGGAGAAGGACATCACACTGAATACATCCAATCTTACGACGGATTCGAACCCGCCACCTCAGCGCTTCGCACAGTGTTTGGTGAATGATACCACTCGGTCAGGGAGGTCCCCCTTGCATTTTTATTGCTACACATACATGCAGGCTTTTGTGCTCAATTACCTTTTAAACCCTTGTCAAGCAGTACAATTTAGAGAAGGACATCATTGATATACATCCAGAATTATGGCGAGATTCGAACTCCTAACCTCTACTTTAAGCTTCTGAAGTGGAAGAACAGACGCAAACTAGTGAACATACGGGATTCGTTCACGCTACAGAGCGTTTGCGCATAGATGATATCGCTTCGCGAGTGAGGCTAGATTAGCTGCCATTTTGCCTGACTTTAAGGGCCGTGGTAGCCCAATCGTTTGGGAAATGGACTCTGGTTCATAAAGACTGGACTGGGGCTTGATCCTCGACTCTGCTAAAACCCACAGAGTGCATGCGGTATACGCACTCGCAAAATTTGTGGAATTTAAAGTCTTGTGATCTATTACTGAGCTGTACTATGGGTGCAGAAATCTGGAAAAAATATCTTTCCCCTTCATATTTATTACTAAACTAAGGAAGTGGCCATAATTTAGACATAATTAAGGCCAGTCGTTTGGGAATCGGATTCTGGTTCGAAGGGATTGGGTCTCGATCCTCGACTCTGCTAAAACCCACAGAGTACATGCGATATACGTACTGAGCCGTACTATGGGTGCAGAAATCTGGAAAAATTTTCTTTCCGTTTTAGATTTATGTCTAAATTAAAGAAGTAGCCTCCCGATTGAGATGATCTGATAGTTTGTCTTCAGATCAACCCCAGGACAGGCTGGACAAGTCCTAGACAGTCGCGAATGGCCAATTGTTGTTGTTCATTTACGTCGCACTAGAACTGCACAATGGGCTATTGGCGACGCTCAGGGAAACATCCCTGAGGATGATCCGAAGACATGCCATCACAATTTTGATCCTCTGCAGAGGGGATGGCCCCCGCTTCAGTAGTCCGACGACCTGCACGCGAAGTCGAGCACTTTACGATAGAACAGTTTAACGAGGACCAATACCGCATACCCTCGGTCCCTACGCAGGCGGATCCAAGGGGTCACCCACCCGCACACTGACCGTAGCCAGTGATGCTTGACTTCGGTGATCTGCTGGGAGCTGAGTCTTAACGATCAGTCCACTGCGGGACTGGCCAATTGTGCAGATCTAGTGCGAGGAAACCCCTACCTTCCTACATATTCCGTCGAATGAAGCACAAGTGTTCAGTGCAAAGAATGTGTTATAATCCTTCATCAAGTAAAACAGAAAGTACAATTTAGAGTAGGGCAGCACAAAGATACATTCAAGGAAACGGCGGGATTCGAACCCCCTACATCGACACTACAACGCGTTTCAGTTACTCATCCAGGGAAGCACCTTAAATTGCCGCTATTGCATATTGAGTATAAAACTTAAATACACAGCTAAAGTATAATCATATACAGGTATATTTATTTGCGTCACACTAGAGCTGCACAATGGGCAATTGGTGAGGGTCTGGAAAACATCCCTGAAGATTATCCGGAGACAGCATACGCACATTACATTGCGTTTTACAGGGATGACATATTCACAGACCACCCATCCACAGATCGTAATTTTGATCTGAACTAGAGTTCGTTTAATCCACGATCCAGTAACCCTTGTTATGGGAACTTGAGGGACTTTGTGACCCCGACAGATTTAGCGAGCACCAGTCAGCATTTTTTACATGGGGGACTCTTAAGTCGGCGGGGGTTGAACTTACAGCCTCTCGGACATTGGACAAACGCCCTACCAACCTGGCTACCCTTGCATCTAGCTCTGCAGTAGACTGATCGTAAGGACACGGCTCTCAGTAAAACAACGAAGTCAAGCATCACTGTCTACGGTCAGTGTGTGAGTGGGTGACCACTTGGATAAGCCAACGTGGGGTCCGGGGGTACGCGGTATAGGTTCTAGTTAAACTGTTCTACCGTAAAGTACTCGATTTCGCGCAGGTTGTTGGGCTACCGAAGCGGGGGTGCCATCCTTTGTGTAGAGTATGAAAATTGCGATGGCTTGCCTTCGGATCATCCTCGGGGGTTAAGTAATACCTACCTATCCTGGTCTCTAAAGTATAATCAATCGGTCAGCTTTGTTTTACTAATGCATAATTAGTGAATTCATTTTTCATCACTTGTAAATTTGGATATTTTCGATAAACTGTATGATGTGTGTAGAAGAAATATTTTACAAGTCTGTATTTCAAATATCATCTACGAAATATATCATGAACCTTCTTCAGGAATATCAAGTGTATTATTTGTAAGTATCAATGTGTGTGTGATTTATTAATAATATTGTTTGCTTTTATTTGTTGAAAATGTAAATTTTAATAAGTTAAATTACTAATTGGTTAATTTTCAGATTTTTATAAAATACGTATATTATTGTTGCTTGATTACTACTATAATCTCTGATGCATGCCAAATAAAAAATATTTCAGCTCCAGTAAAACCTTTTTAGAAATATTTATATTTATCTTCCTGTCATCGGTTGTATAGTATTCAATACGTACAGTACTAGGTAACAAATAGTTAAATAATGGCATAACTGATAATGTTGCAGTTTTAATTTTAACACATCTTATTGCTACAATATTTTTGGTTCGGATAATTTTTTTCTTAAGATGCAAGGAAATTAACTAAAAAAAAAGATTGTTTTTAAGTAAATGAAAAACAAGTTGATATCAAAATTTTATGAATTTTCTTTCATAAAGAATAGTTTTATTTTGGAATATACATACATTTCAAGCAATGCATATATATGTTTTCTCAATTAAGACTATCAAGGATATACTATTGAGAGAATCTGCATTTTGGTTTACGGTATCATAAATTAACAGACCATCTCTCAAATTTAGAACCATTCACTTTTAAAGTATGTATTTATGATTATTTTAAACCTACTTTTATAATTAATAAAGCTCCTCGCTGACTATAAATGTGTAAGAAAATAATTTGAAAATAAATCTGTAACAAGAATTTTCTTTTGCATTTATGCGTACGTGAGTTTATTATTGGGTAAATCCCATCTTGTTCTTTTAGCAAACTAAGTCTTTTTTTCATATATAAAAATTCATTGTTTTTAATTTTAAATTGCTTTTTTGGAGTTTCATAAATTCTACTTAAAAATGAAGCATTTAACATGGAATCACATAACAAAAATGTTTCCCTATGAGGAACCATCTTCTATTTTTTTTTTGCTACGCAACCCACACAATTTATTCTCAATCATATTTGTTCCTTGATAGTTTAAAGAATATTACATCAAAATTAAAAATTATCCAATTCAAAAATCTCAATTTATTAAATTATAATAACACATATTTATTATCAAAGATATTATTAAGAAAAATTTGAATCTATTTATTTTTCTCGACTACTGTTGTAACTTCATGTTCAATATTTTTTAATTAAATTCTGAAGATTTAGTTCATATAAAAAAAAAAATTTATATTTTTGCTAAAAAATTATTTAGCAATAGTGCTGAAAGTTAATTTTTAATATTGCTGTAGAATTTTAAATAAATAATTTGTGTTTATTATTTTAATTGCATACTTGGACAGAAAAGTTTTAGGTAGAATTTAGGTAAAATCATGGTGTACTTGACACGTTTTCCACGATTTTGAAAAATGTCACTAAAGCCGGAAAAAAGAACTTTTCAGTTAGCCGGGAGCAAAGAAATTCTACTTTTTATTTAATTTTATTTGTTTAAAAAATAAAAAAAATAATGTAAATAAAAGAAAATGGTTTTGGTCTACATTTTTTGACAACTTTTTGTTTGCACCCTGCTAGCAAAAAAGAAATAATACAAAAAAAAAAAAAAAAAAAAAAAAAAAAAAAAAAAAAAAAANAAAAAAAAAAAAAAAACATTAACCCACCGAATCACGCTAAATCAACTACTGCAGATTGCGCCCTCCCAAAAATCGCCTATGTTGCCAAATCCATCGTGTAACGTATACTAGGATTAAGTCAAAATATTCATACTGATGTAAAAGTTTGAGATTACTTTGAAATAAAATAAAGTAACAGAAAATAGCAAGAAGAGAGGATAAATAAATGTCACAGGTAAATTCGATTAAAAAAAGAATGAACAAATAATTTACAGGTTAATACAATTGTAGTTTGCATTAATTTTATACTCACGACAGCCAAAGATATCAGGATCTTAGTTCATTAACGATTTTCTTCATACGATTTATCACCGAAGTCAAGCATCACTGGCTGCGGTCAGTGTGCGGGTGGATGACCCACTTGGATCAGTCTGCGTAAGGACCAAGGGTGTGCGGTATTGGTCCTCGTTAAACTGTTCTACCGTAAAGTGCTCGACTTCGCGTGCAGGTTGTCTGGCTACCGAAGCGGGGGTGCCATCCCCTCTGCAGAGGATCAAAATTGTGATGGCATGTCTTCGGATCATCCTCAGGGATGCTTCCCAGACCGTCGCCAATAGCCCATTGTGCAGCTCTAGTGCGACGTAAATGAACTACAACAACAACAACATCATGCGATTTATCTGTCCATTGAGAATCCAGGAAGAAACAAGGTGACAATTATCCTTTTAAGAGATATAAATCGGAACTTGAATGGAAAATCAAGTTCTTATTAGTTTCCATTTAATTTAAATTTTAGATCAGCAAAACGAAATTTAGTAATTATCTTTGAATATAGTATTCATAAATTGTTTTTTAAAGTGTGCAACTGAGCCTAATTCCATAGCTATATATTTAATTTAATATTTTTTTAAAAAAGAAAGCTCTTAAGCGTTCACGAAATTATTCTTTGAAAATAATTTTTTGAATCTTAAGCATACTACTCTAGTAAAAATATTACGGTAACGCAGATCTTTTTTTTTTTCGATTCTATATGACAATGAGAAATTCTTGATTCTGTACAAAAATGCAATGAAATCTTTTATCTCTTCGGATTTTTTGCAAAACCAAACATAAGAATATTTTTTTAAATATTTCTGCATTTTCCATTAATTTTTTTTCAAGCCGAGATGTTATTTTTTTATGAAATCGCAAAATTCTGTACATATAACGATCTAGTCTGTTAAGCACGTTCTCTACAGTCCTGCAACATTATCTTTTGAGTACTTTAAAATCGTTCTTTCTTATTATTTTTCCGAACTTGCACCTACATAAAGTTAAACTAGTACCAGACATTTTTGGTCGAATATTAAAGCTTTAGTCCCAGATATAATCATAATGATTGCTTTAAAAGTTCGACCTTTATAATTGATCGAAATCCAAAAAACACGAAAAAAATTAAATCCTTTTTCTTAACATTGTACAAAATTATTAAACTCTTTCTAAAATCGTACAAAATTACGAACCTTTTTCAAATATCGTACAAAATTACGAACTTTTTTAAACATCGTACAAAATTATGATCCTTTTTTAAATGTCGTACAAAATTATGATCCTTTTTTAAATGTCGTACAAAATTATAATCCTTTTTTTAACGTAAAAATTATGATCCTTTTTTTTAACCACGTACAAAATTATGATCCTTTTTTTTAACATCGTACAAAAGTATGATTGTTTTTTTTAACATCGTGCAAAATTATGATTTCTTTTTTAATATCATACGAAATTACGGACCTTTTTTTAACACAGTACAAAGGTATGATCACTTTTTTGATCATCGTACAAAATTATGGAAAAATTAACCAAAAGGAATAATCATAGTTCGGGTTAAAGTTATCTGTGGAGATTAACTCTCCAAAAGTATTGAGCCTCAGGGCATGTACTGATTTTTTCTAGGTACGTCCTACTTTTTTACTTAATACCATGTGGTGACTGGTGTTTTTATGTAGGAAAGCCCGCTCCTTAATTTCAACGAAAGACTAAACTAAGTCCCATAGATTGAAGTCTATTTTCAGAAATCACTGCTGTAAGAGCCGTGATGGTGCAGGGGATAGAGCGTTTGCCTTCCAATGAGGTGTACCGGGTTTGAATCCCAGGATGGCTCGTTGATACGAATTCCACACCGACCACAGCGCTGATGTAAAATATACTCAGTGGAAGACAGATCATGAGTTGCCTTCAGGCTAACTGTGGGATGTTTTCCTCTCTATGTGACGCAAATGCGGGTTAGTTCCATCAAAAAGTCCTCCACGAAAGCCTTTAGTTCGAAATTACAAGGCTACGGAGTTGAACATTAGTAATGGAAAACCCAAAATTTCGCAGGCTGTTCAACTACGGTTATAAAATAAAATAAATTCGCTGCTACAAACTGGTTTGAAAGTGCTTTCTATATAAAAGTAACAAGTTTAAAACAAAATCAAGATTAACTATAAGTGACTTAATTGTCTGTTAAATAAATTTAAGTGGTTTTATCGATAAATGGAATGAAAATTAAACATTTTTGCTACATGACTATAATCGATAATTTTATCACTCTATTAGAGTTCTTTACTATTGATTAATTTTGTTTATAATGCATCCTCATAGCTCAAAAAATAAACAAATTTTTAATAAGAACGAGACAGAAATTAGGATAAAAATTCTATTTATTGAATAGTTTTTGATTACAAGCACAGCAGTTCCTTTCAATAAATAATCACAAAGATAATTAAGTAAATGTTATTGTCATATAATAAATAAATATATTATTATTGTCTTTTTAAATTACACTCGTGAGACTATTTCCAAAAATATAATACTTCCTTCAAGTGAATTGTTGAATATGAGCCTAATAATTCTTAAAATTTAAGGTTTATCGTTTATTTATTTAAAACCAAAGTTTTATAGGATTGTTGTTCGTGAATTATCTGTATTGATACAAGATGCTAATTTTTAAATAAGATTGGAGAAAAATTGGAATTCTTATGCTGCAACAACTAAGAAATGATATGCAAAGAATGATTGTGAGAGGAAAACGTTCTCCATTTAATGATTGCGTATAGATGTTCCATCTATTAACAATTGCAATTTTCAACAATGGGCACTCACAGGAGTTCCTAAATATTTACACAATTAGCCTTGCACACTACTGAACTAGGTGCAAGGCTTATTGTGAAGCCATGATGCTAATTTAGTGTAAACAAATAAATGACAGAAATGTGTTGTGACGTCAGTATATATTTAGATAATTATAACTATTTTTCTGTTCATGATGTAGCCTCAGAGACATGGGGATAATGAGCAAAAGAATATGTCTTTTAAAAAAGTGAAAACACCTCTACAAAATGTATCAACAAAAAGTGCCAACATTTCAACCTTTTATGTTATAATTTCCTTTCTTATCACATAGGTCTCGTTAGCTTCTGATTTATTGGACCTCTAATAATTTTCGACATAAAAGGAAAAAAAAGAAGCTATTTTTCTTCTAGTAATAACGTCCTTACAATCTACATTTCAAAATAAAGTTAAAATTTTTTCATCCTTAATCAGGAATACTTATTAAAATACACTGAAGGAAATTTTTCGATTGAAATGGTTTAATAGTAATTTATTTAATTGTTATTTCACCATATTCAACTACGACAGTCAAATAACTATAAAAAAATGATATTCGAGCTGTTAAATGTGAGAAAAATCGTTTATTGATTGTTTTTACCTACCAGTATTCTGACAGCCAACAAATACCCCACCAGCTAGGCCAACCTTATAAAGCCATTTTGTTTTTTGCTTCTGGGTACATACTTTAGCAAAGAGGGCTAATCGGTCAATTTCATGACTGGTTGATTCCCAGCGTTGATACCGCAATATTTCCTCCAATCTTTTAAAACATTAAGAGCTTCTAGTGTCTTGCACTCTTCATTTAGTGATCCTAGACCATTAGATTGCGAAACTATTAATCACGAATAAATAGCGTAGCTCCAATGTCCATTTAAGTTGTATTTTTATGGTTTAGTAAGTCCAGGTGTATATGGTTACAAAACCGTGTAGCTTTGTATTCACGTTTTTTTAACAGTGCCTGTTGTAAACGGATTCAAAACCGTAAATGTAAAGAATGTTCTTAATCATAAAATTTAGAGTTAATTGGATGGGCAGACAGTTGCCGGTGGATATTTTACGGTAATTTAAAGATGAAAATTCTAACAGTGTAGTCCAGTGAGTAAATATTGCATACCCAAAGGCTAAAAAGACAATCAAAACATTATCAGATGCAAATTAAGAATTTACCTACAGTTTGATATTATTCATAAAAATTGTGATTTAGTAATTGCTATTGTCCATCTTTCTGGCAGGTAAAACACAAGTTGAAATAAGAATGAGCTCAATGAGAAAATGAGATAATTTTTGAGATAATTTGGAAATGAGAATGTTCAATGAGATAATTTTTTAAAAAACCTTTCGCAGATGATTTTTAATAAGTGATCAACAAACAAAATTCTTTAAATGTCTTAACCCTTTTATTGTATCGGAAAAAAGCTGTGTTCCTCAATGTCTGCATGGAAAATACATTGTACATTTCCATGTATTCTTAAAGTACGCGAAAACACCACCTTATCTTATTCCTTAAAATTATTCTTTATAATATTTTCTACTTCTTCAAAATAATAGTCTTAAAGCAAGAAAAGAAACACAATGTTTTGAAATAGCGGTTCCATGAACAATTCCTTTTCGTAATAGTTTTCTAATTTTTAATTTTAAAAATTTGTTTTAAGATTAAGAATCCTAAACAAAGTCGCTTGTACCCTAAAATTGCTTCACAAGAATATTTCCTTAATTTTATACATCTAATTTAATTAACCTAATGTGAGTTTATGATTCGCAGGAAATGTGAATCAATGAGTGAGTGTAGTTTTTACAACATTAGGAAATGAATGTTACTCCTTTTCTTTTTAATCATGAAGTTAGTTTAAATCAGGATTTCTCCACCAACACATCCTAAAAATTAAAAGAAAATAAATATTAATGCAAATTAAAAGGTACAGAAAAGTCAAAGTGTGAAATTAGTAAATGATAGAATGAATCGCATGAGTTAGATGAACGAAAATTAAGAATGGCTTAATACAATATCACAATGTGTAATGCATATAAATGTATTATCATTAAAATCTTATACAATCATCTCAGATTTTCTAGTTTATAATACATTAAAGAAGAATCATTATAAAGTTATTTAATCTTGAATATTATGATTTTTTTTACTGCAGTAAGTTTTGAAATATTATGATTCTTTTTTACTGTCCGTTTCGTAAACTATAAATTAAGCTTTTCTAAAGCTATAAATGTAATTTGATGCGTCATATTTTTTTAAACAGGTTAGAATTATATAAAGGTTCAGTGAGTAAGTCCAAATAGCAATGATTAACTTGAAATTAGATTTTTAGGTTTTAATTTAAATTTGCTTAGAATAAGAGACTAGTTTTTGGAACTTTTTATTCTTGTTGTTTTTTCTAATGACGGTAGCTATGTATTTTATTTACGTCGCACTAGAGCTGCACAATGGGCTATTGGCGACGGTTTGGGAAACATCCCTGAGGATGATCCGAAGACTTGCGATCATAATTTTGATCCTCTGTAGAAGGGATTGAACCCCTGCATTCGTAGCCTGATGACCTGTGCGCGAAGTCTTGCACTTTACTGTAGAACAGTTCAAAAAGGACTGATACCGTTCACTCTCGGTCCCTACACAGGCTGATCAAAGTGATCACCCACCCACTTAATGACCGCAGTCAGTGATACTTGACTGGGAACCGTGTCTTTACGATCAGTCCACTGCGGGACTACTGACACTTGGGCAAATCAAGTTCACCAACCATTTGAATTACAAATTAAGCCATGAATGTGCGTCTTTTGTTTGACAAGAGAGCACCGCTAGGTTAAGAGTACGTTTTGGCTCAAAACGTCACGGATAGATAGCTGCAGTATCCGTGGCCACTCGTAAGGCCACTTCTTCAATTTAGAAATCGAATCGAAACATCGTAGCACAGGAAAAGGATTTTATTTAATTTTATAACCGTCGTTGAACATCCGACCCAATTTTGGGTTTACGACTACTAATGTTCAACTGCATAGCAGCGTAATTTTGAACCAATCTAGAAGATGAGGACACTCCTGGATCAGTACCCCCAGAGGTATTGATTTGTTATGGGAACTTGGAGGATTTAGAGACTCGACAGATTTAACGTGCATCAGTCACCATTTATTACACGGGGAGTCTTCGGTCGTGTAGTAATATGTTTTCAGTCCCCATTCCTAATATGTTTTCAGTATTCTAGCAAACAAAAATGAAATTAAAAAAAATGCGTGCATGCTTACTGGAGACGGCAAATTAATATTTAGTTTAAGATAAAGTTTTATATTTTTTGATTTGTTAAATAAAATGTTTTTCTTCTTTTTATCCGGTTCTTTTTATTAAATATCTGTCTTGTTTACCATCATTTCGTGAGACAGTAGGTTTCGTGCTGTAGCACTTAACGATTTACATTCCAACAATGGATTGTATGGGGATTTGTGCTTGTCTAGTTGTGTTCTATCACCCATTAACATATGTACAATGAGTTTTGGGACCAGTTTTTGCTCTGGCCAATATCGCAGCAGCTTATGTAATAGCCTTTATTTCCGCCTTGATGTCTGTGTTCAATTCTAGAGGACAGTCATTAATTTTTTTTTTATTAAATTTAGAAATGTAAATAATTTAAATATATAAATCATTTTATTTTATTCACTAAATTTTTTTGACTATTTTGTTTAACCAATGTACTTACTATAAAAATTTAATCATTCAATCTGTTTACTATAAAAAATAAGTTACATAATAAAAATAATCAGATGTGAATAGGGTAATGCAACCAACTAGATATAGGGAGAAAATGTAAAAAATTTTAATTGGCATTTACTCATGACAAGAGATATTATAATTTTCCAGCAGCTATTATTATAATGCCAGTTATTATTTTATGTTTGAAAGATTGAATTTTTACTGTAGTTTACACATTGAGTAATATCTGCAATAAGAATGAATGAAATAGTTTATTATATAGTATTTTAATGAATGAAATAGTTTATTATATAGTATTTTAATGAATGAAATAGTTTATGCTTAAATTAATAATTTTTGTAACCAGTAGACTTATTAAAAAAGTTTTTTTCTTTAAAATATCATTTTCTGTCTTTGAAAATCGAACTCCGAACATATGAACACCAAACAAGTAAGTTGCCACCAAAGTAGTTGACCAGAACGCAATTTTCAGAAGCTGGCCAGTGCACCATATTTTTTAAAAAGCTGAACACCCAAAAGATATACAACAAATACACTTAGTCTCAACTCCAAGTGAATTAACTATAAGTCTTCTCATCCCTGTAACAGGGAAAAAGAATTTTTTACTAACCTTCATTTTCATTCCTTTAGTTTCAAATGGCAAAAATAATGCAGCTATCCCTGATAGAAATATAACTCCAGCCAGCAGAGACATGGCTGCGATTGGACTATCAATAACTAGAACCTAAAAATGCAGAAAATATTCGAATATGTCAAAAGTCATGTTGTTCAGTGCGTAAAATAAAAAACAAACCTCCCTGAATGACTATCTAATGATGGGATCTTCACATTCTAGAACTCAATCTTAATGGTTTGAAGGGGTTGTCTCAAATATGTTAATTAATTAGTGCAGGCAATAAAGTTACGAAATCGGACACGAAAATATAGTTTCTCAGAATGAACAACTTTGTTTTCGTCAATTTCGGATTTCTGACCCCCTAAGAATATCGAGAGTAATCGCAATCTGGAAAATATTGTCCTCATAGTTTGGGCAGGAGAGCGATCTACTAGATCGATTACGCATTTCAGCTTGTCAAATTACATCCTTCAAAATGATGTAAGAAGTTGAATACCTTGCAATTAAAAATTGTTTCGACTATTGTTAAATAAAATAATAAAAAATAATAAATATTTACTTAGCGTTATTTTTTGCTTGGAATTATTTTTGAATAAACGAATTTTATAATTGTGTGCAAATGATTAGCAATTCGCTTTAAAAGTTCTCACGAAATGGCGAAATATGCAAAACATAAATTATCATTAAGTGGCCACATTTTCGAATTCTCTTTGCCTACATGAACTATTGGGATTACGATTCTCGCCCTTATTCTGAGAGTCAAAAATTTAAAAAAGTCGAAGAAAGGATATTTTTTCCGAGCACGTTTCTGTGTCTGATTTCATTACTTAAAATATCTTCTGAAAATTATTAATTATCATATTTGTGATCTCCCCCTGAAACTAATTAAGATTGAGTCCTAGAACGTGAAGATCTGATCTAAAGTTTTTCAGGATGGACCGTTTTTTTTGTTTTTCGCAGTGAAATTAATTTCTTGGTGGATATGAAAAAGCATTGATCACTTAAATCACAAGTATTTGATAATTTCTCAGCATTTCTTAAATCACTGTCGAGAAAAATCATAGAATTTGAAAGTTAAAAGAACAAATTCGTAAAAAGGGCTTAAGAATAAAAAACTATTTCATTTGAACATGAATTAAAACTTCTTCACATCTCCTCATATTTAAACAATATTTTTTTATTCAAAATAATTTTGAATATTTGTGAAAATTAAGTTGAAAGAAGTAGTTGTAGTTAATTACACTTGTAATAGCGTAGTCATAGCTACTAACTGCAAAGAAAATGTAGTTTTTCTAACAACTTATTGAAACCTACATAAAACATAATAAGACTAGAAAACCTGAATAAATCTCCATTTACCTGAGCAACGTAAGGAACCATAATCCCTCCAAGTCTGCAGAACGAGCTGCCTGTTCCCATGGCTAAAGCTCTAAACGTTGTCGGAAAAAGCTGTAAATGGAGTAAGAATCACATTTTATTCATGTCTGAGTAAAATATTAACTCCTTTTTATTAAAATTTGAGAGTATTCAAAATTTAAATTGATACGACTTACTTCTGTAGTCATAATGTAAATCAACTGAAATACGGCTAATAAAATAGCTCTTGCTCCAAAAAGGACTAGAAGTATGATGATTTTGCTATTAAAAAAAGTAAATACAATTATTCGAGTGATTGAGTTTCTAAGTCAGTGTTTCGGCGTATTGTACCCTCTGCGCAAGAGCTCTCATATTTTTTTT